CTAGGGCTTAGGGTTTAGGGCTTAGGGAGGATTTCGGGTTTAGGGTTTAAGGTGTAGGGTTTAGGGCTTAGAGTCTAGGGCTTAGGGTTTAGGGCTTAGGGTGTAGGGTTTACGGCTGAGGGCTTAGGGTTCAGGGTGTAGGGTTTAGGGCTTAGGGTTTACGATTTAGGGCTTGGGGCTCGCCGAAGCCATCTCAGGCTCTTAAGGGGTCTGCCTTAGCTCTAATCCAAAGTGATCAAACTTGGACATGTTTTTCCACTCTGCCAAGCTTGCTCTTCTACCTTGCAGAGCTCTTTCATGCTTCAAACCGGGGCTTGACATTTCCATGAAAAAATGGCCTCAAAAGGGCCAAAATGGCCATCAAAGGGCAACACTGGTTTCCACAGGGCCGACATGGCTTCCAAAAAGCTGAAATGGCCTTGAAGATGACCTCCAAAAGGTAGAAGGCTTTGCAAAAGTTGAAAATGGTCTCCGCAAAAACCAAAACGGTTGCCAAAAGGTAGAAATGGTTTGCAAAAGGTCAAAATGGCATCCAGAAGATGAAGCTGGCCTCCAAATGGCCAATCATGGCTTCCAAAAGGCTAAATGGTTTCCAAAAGACAGAAATGGCAGCCGCAAGGTGACAATTGCTTCCAACAGATGAAAACAGCTTTCAAAAGCAAAAAACTGGGCCTCCAACAGATGAAAGCGGTTTGCAGAAGGCCAGGATGACTTCCGACAGCGGGAGATGGCTTCCAAAAGATAGAAATGGCTTCCAAAAGATGAAAATGAAGGCTAACATGGCATCCAAAAAGTTAAGGCTTCCAAAGGCCAGAAATGGTTTCCAAAAGATGAAAACGGCATCCAGAAGGCAGAAATGGCTTCCAAAAGGAGAAACAATACCTTTATAAGGCCAGAAGCGGCTTCAAAAAGGTGAAGATGATTTCAACAGGCCAAAATGACTTCCAAGAGCTGAAGACGGCTTTCAAAATGCCAGAAAAACTTCCAAAAGGCAAAAATCGTCGCCATTTCCCGGCTGTCCAACCTTCAGCTTACTTAAACCTACCCTCGCTGGCAAACCCACAAATGCTGCGACGGCGTCGGCCCACCAAAGTTTAGGGTCTAGGCTTTAGGACTTATAGGGTATACAAATACTACCTGCACTTGCATTGGGCGGGGTTTTGGGCTCATCCGGCGCGAAATGGGCGAGAGCAGAACAGCCTCTAGCTGCAATGCAAAATTCGGGCGGTTTAGGCCATAAAAGCTATGTTCAATGCGCAAGACCACCACAAAAAGTGGTGGATTGGATTGACTTTTCATATGGGGTGGCAACATGCGGATACCATTGCATAAGGCTTGTATGGGGAGACTTGGAGGTATATAAAGGCTATGTGCAGCTAGGGAAAATCCCAACCTCAACACTCCTTCGATTGATTGCTCGAAGGTCCTAACCCTAAACCCTAAACACCACCTGCTTATTGAGCCTGCAGGGTTGTGTAGGGTTGAGGATTTAAGGTATAGGTCCGCACGTCATTCAAACTGCGAAGAAATTATTAGCCTCCACCCAGATTTGGAGAATTTCAAAAATCGACGGCCCAAATATACATCCCAACGCACAACAACGCCTGGGAAAAAAGAAACCCCTGATTGCTGGAAGCCCCGCATTCAACCCCAACCAAAGCGTCTAGTCTGACAGAAGCTTTGCTGCTGTTCAGGACCTTGGTCTGAGTTACCATATGGTTGGTACATGGAAAATATTAGGGATTTTGTATTACCTAAACCCCAAAAGTATGTAAAATAATAGCCCTAAACCCATAGTAATAGCATGTAATAGCCATAAAGGCCATTACTCTACATACTGTTGGGGTCCAGGTACACCTAAACCCTAAACCCTAATTGCAGAAAGCTCCTTACAGCAACTCCAGAAAGTCTGACCCACGGCAAGTGGAAACCAGCCCAGGTAGTCCACGCACCCGAGACTGGGTTGCTGTTAAGGAACTTAGTCAATATACCGTAACGGGCATAAATAGTACTATGTATATATATGGCTTCACCAACACAAAAACTTGAATTAAGTTCCTAGGCTCCCAAACCTGGACCCTACTCCCTCCTTGACAGCAACCCAGAAGAGAGGAGCACGTGGGATGAGGACAACGGCAATGGTAAGACAGCGTTTGGGGATGTAGATGTGAATTAACACGTACTTGAGTACACCGATCCTTCGCATGATGATGAAGCCTTCTCCAAAAGGACACTATTTGAGCTATAGTCTATACTCCAAGTATCCCCCCTAGTCACCTCTATAGTACAGCCCTGGATAATCTCCTGCATAAGCCTCCTTTAAGGAGTTTGAACTATAGCTGATTTCGGCTTCAGAATTTGCGGGAACATTCTCGCCTAACATACCCCAGGCGTCCAAGTATCTAATAATCATATACTTACCCAAAACCTGTACTATAATTCCTATTACCCAAAACCCAAGTACCCGATTATTCGGTACATGGACCCTCTGGGATAGCCATGAAAATCAGATCAGCGCTGTGCCGAATTATCCCCCCAATGAATCTTCAAGATGAGAACTCAACCCCACATCCGGGTTTAGGGTTCAGGGTCCAGATCCCAAAAGGGATCTGAAAATGGAATCCCCCAGAATCATGTCGGAATGGGAGTTCTACAAATGCTTACTACAGGTCTATACATGCCTGCCCTGTCTAAGAGCCTTGCGGGCGTCAGCAGCGCAGGGAGCTTTGAGTCCTTTGACTCTTTTGACGTTGTGCGCGATCCGCTCATGGCCTCGAAGGCTGGGCAACTGTCTTTGTTGGTAGAGGACTTGAATCAAGTCTGGGGTTTAAGGTACTGCGCAGAGTGCAAAAGGGGCTGTGGCGATTCAGTGGGTTGCTACCCGCAGCCTGAAATCATCTGCACTTCTCTTCCAAGAAGATGTTTCGCACCATCCCTGATTATAATCCTCTGTCAACACAAATGGGCAATTTTTGGCTCACCTGCCACACCTTCCAACCACATCAGTACCCCTGAGCAGATGCACTTCACGTCAACTCTAAGCGCCCCCCAGACAACTTAAAATGCAACCTGTGGAATCACATTTCTGTGTCCATCTATGCATAACACACCTTTTTTTTGTTGATCCAAACTCAGGGTGGGGACCCCCAGCTACAGAAGTATATTCACAAATCCCAGGACTACAACTCATGGGCCTCAGAACCATACATACCCCAACTGTAAGGCGACTTAGCACTCCTGGCCCTCCCATCCCTTCCCTGAAATGCCCTGACTATTTGCTCATAATCTTGCACGCCCTAAACGCTAAACCCCTATACCCTGAACTCCTAAAACCCTAAAACCCTTAACTCCCAAACCCTAGACCCCTAAACCGTTAATCCTAACCTTAAGCCCCAAGTTAACCCTAAACAGAATGATTGGATGGCAGGCCTGAACCCTTCATGGGTTATCTACTGTACGGTTTTTAAGCATTATGGTTAAGGGTTTAGATAAAAGGGAGGGTTTGGGGTTTGTGGTTTCTGGGTGCAGGGCAGGAGCCCGCTGATTAGCACTTAGATTTGGGGCTTATCATACCAAACACTTATCAAAGGATCAAGCATGATGCACTGCCGTCAGAATTGCTAAAACCCTAATGCCTTGCCCGAACGTTGGGGCATACGAACTGCTTCTAAGCTACCCGCCTTCCAAACGAGGCCTACCCTCACCTCATTTCGCGTTGGGTTATACGTTAAGTCTAATGGAGACAAATATGATGATAGGTTCCCTGATTTGTGATGAGGGGATTTGTCACAATAGTTTTGTAACTGGCGGGCCCCGCCCTGTTCAGGCAGCCATTTTGGAAGGGAAGCAATATCCAACCGCACGGACTAGGTGCAAAACTCTCACTAAGCTGGAGCAAATCTCAGTCCGCAGCCCAGCGTTCAACGATTTCCAGCAACTCTATCTCCCCCAGACAGGATCCAGCTTTTATTTGCTCAGAGCCAAACGGCATTTATGCATTCGAGGCACTATTTTGGGGCTTGTTTTTTTTTCATATCGGTTTGTCCTGAGCCAAAGCATGTATATGAGCTCTCTTACAGTTTGGCGCGCCGGTGGTCTTCCGCGTGAGCGGGTAAGCTCCAATCCCTCCTGCTCGCTTGGCCCTGGAATCTACATCACGAGGATGTTCCTGGGGCCCCTGGGCAACTCAGACCGTTTCAAATTCCGGTTGCGACAACAGCAACCAGCCGATGTCCTTCAACATGCCGGAGAAAGGTCCAAATGTAAGATCTGAAAACTTCACACTTAATGCTGGGCGGAAATGGTGATGGCTTAAGCTCAAAACGGAAGGCTACGCCATTGGCTACACATGGGTCTATTGCGCTTGCCGAAGTGATTACCTCCTCGGGTCCCTTTTGCCTCCCCTCCAATTGCTACTATCCAAACCCGAGGCGCCCAACTGTTGAGTCTGTTGAGGGCTAGGGTGTAGGGTTTAGGGTTTAGGGTTTAGGGTGCAAAGTGTCCAGTAGAGTTTCCTTGGATCCATCCAGAGCCATAAAACATAGCCAGATTTCAGGGCAGCTAGTTGTTGTGAAGTAAGCGAATAAGAGCAATCGCGTTAGTAGGAGCACAGGTAATAGAAATAGTCATGGACAATTCGAGGGTTATGAAAAAATGAATCTCATCATCAGGCAACAAGCTTCTGAGAGGAGTGTGGGTTTTATAAAATTTCAGAGCTATAAGCTGCTGAAGGATAGGATGCCGTGGGTCTGGCCAGGGGGGTCTTCCAAAACAGTACGAAAATATGGGCAACAAACCTAGGAACCCAGAACTACAACCTCTGGTTCTTGCGTGATTCCTGGTCCAAGTACCCACGTAGTATCCAATGTGTACTCAAATTGGTTTGCGTGGAAAGCGTTTTCAATTCCAATTATGTCACTCTCGGGTTCCGGTTCCGGGGCCCTGAGAGAAGTGCTTGCAGACTCGGCTTTTTCGGCTAAATGGCATTTTTGACATGGCAGTCAGTTCCTGCTCTGCAAGGTCTCGGCGAAAAGGTCCTGCAAACAGTGGATGGCACAAACTCAGTTGGCAGATGCACAGGATGATCAAGCTGATGCAGTACGGTGTGCGCACAGGCGCCCTTATTGACCGTTTTGTAGAAGCAAGGTAAGTACGAGCGGGTATGAGAAGAAATCCTACGACTTGAACCGCTTTCTTCAACAACTTTGCTTGCTCATAGCAAAGCCTATGATCGTCAAATAGCGCCAGCACAGGCCCCGGGAAACTCCTCCATTGCCTTCCATGACCGCGTGGCGGCTCTGTGGGAATATCCGAAGGCAGGATTCGGGTTCAGATCCTCTCAAGCATGATTACGCGAACCAATTGAAAACTGATTGCGGTACTGTGGGGCGTCACAGCCTGCGCAGGATTTGTGAAGCCGTGCTTCACGCCGCCGAATACCATCATGTCCTTGCTGCCAGAGATGAACGTGGCGTTATTGAGACATTGTCTAAATCATTCACAAAATGCCGGCATTGCCAGCAGCAGTAAGACTTGGACCCACCGCGCATTGGCTGCTCGCATCTGCTCTTCAAACCTTATCCACTTGATCCGATATATATGCGCCTAAATATGATTTTCTCATGTATCCTTTTCATACCTCTCTGCACCCCCGTCTGTACCCCCATATAATTATGCCTATGTAGGGCATCCCTTGCTGCAATTTGAGTGTCGCGCGAAGCGCGCCCGCCAGCGCTGACAAAGGGATCTGCATCTCCATGACAAACCAGCACACGGGGCCTACAAGGCGACGACAACGAAGTCGAATGGAACAAATGATGATGCACAGCACGGCGTCCTCAGGCTCACTTTCACAAAATCGGAATTCATAAGTGCCGAACGCGTTTTGCGCAGACATGTCATCCGGAGGAAGCGCGCCATCATCAAGAATTCCATGAAAGGATACTACGGCCTGAGCTTGGAGCTGCCGATCAGGTACGGACGGAATAGGACCCCATCGGCACACCGCTGACCGTGATGATGCCTAACATGCATAATCAACCTGAACCCAAGCCTGCCACAAAATGCCATGACAAGCTCTCAGGCAGTATGCAAACACCTACTCTCAGCATTCGGCGGCGACCCCTGCGGCTGGTCCCAAACCTCATTTGTCAATGACGTTTGGAGTGTTCCTTTTCAACATGGAATGTACCAAAACAGTGGTTCGGAATTGGGCTACTGACGGGCCAAGTCGAGAACGGCGCGTCCACCAAAACAGTATCCAATTGCTGCGATGCGCTGCGGATCTATGCCTGGCACCATGGACGTCAGTTGCTTGAACGGCCAGTTGGAAATGCAAAGTTTAAGGCCTGCGACTTCAGACATTGCTTGGACAGAAGCCCGCATCCTAAACAACGGAGTCCAGGCTTGAGGATGCGAGTTGCGCAACTACAAGCCGCAGGCTCCTTTTCCGACTGAGGCTGCGGTCGTCTGCCAACGGTTGACGTGCAGCTGCACCCCATTCTGGCCTGCATTGCTATGAGCAGGCTGCGACCCAACCCCGACCCTTTGGCAAATACAAAACCAAGCTCGCGGCTCCCAACCATGTCCATGCCTGCATGAGGAACAGCTTTGCACAATGCAGTTGCCGCAGCACAAAAGCCGTTTCAATTAAACGGACCTTTATGGAAACCGCCAAACAGGCAACCCCAAGAACATGGTGAAACTATGAGGGCTATGAACAGAATAGAGGGACCTTCATCTCCATATTCCTGCTACATTCTTGGGGTTTTCTGTTTAGGGTCATGTTATGCTTTCTGAGCGCGCGGCTCATCGCCAAGCATGTCTGCCACAAGAACCGTGTAACCACCAGCAGCCAACACTTCTGCCCGCCAATGCAAATACCTGAAGCGTGCCCCTATGCACACAAACATGGCGTGTCAATAGCATGGGCACAGATCCCGTGGTCCAACGGCCGTGTGCACGACGACCTCATCGAAGATACGTTTCATGTTGTTTTGCAGCACGTTCAACACTGGGGGGGTCACTATTCCTGCGCCGTTCGGTTGCTTTGGTCTTACCACCCGACCATGCAGTCTGCGAACGCCGACCTGAGCAAAACCCGAACTCGTGAAAAGCTATTCTTGCCAATTCTTGCCAACCCTTGCTGGGCAAGGCCTCGTCTTCGTAAATCAGAGGCTCAACCGCAAAAGAATCATGGCCCTGCAAGCTGTGACGTTTCATCGTTGCTTTGGTGCGAAATCAAGTCCAAATCAAAAATGTCATGTCGGAATGCATGGGCATGTACAATCAATCAATCAGCCGGCTAAGCAGTGAGGTGAACCGTGTGTGTGACGTGGGAACAATTAATTACATCTAGCATCATCTAACACAGCGTGCCTGCAACGCAGGGTCGGCACGCCATGCTTTCAGCCTGAACATCCACGCAGGCGCGCTGGACATGCGAATTGGCTGATAATTGTGCATTTGTCTTGTCCCCACGGTATGGAAATGATGAATGGTGAGAAAGGATAATACAATTTTTCTTTTCTGCGGACTTTTATGCCTGCACGAAGGTGTCCTCAGTCCCCGAAATGCGGAGCTGCGGCTAATTTCTCCCGCTTCCACTTGCGGTCCATAGTGCAATCCGAGAACAAAACGTGCAGCCCCGTTTTTTTGGAATTTGCACGGTTTTGCGAGGAAACCTCACTAGTCGGCGCATTAAGCATTCGAAACTGCACGTGGGGCAGCAACATGATTATCCCAATGGGCATGTTTGACGTCTTACATGCTGGTGCAAAACATGGAGTTCTGGGTGAAAAGACGCCACCGGCACCCAAGAAACTCCGGGAAACATATCCATGGATGCATGTTGTTTTCGCCGTGGTTCGCCAATGTCGCCGGGGCAAAGCCGCCAGGCAAGAACTAGCTTTAACATTCTGAATGGCATCGATGAGCGTCAGGAATTGTTAGTTGGGCTTCCACGATGGGACGGTAATGGCAAAACAAATTCAGCGGTAAAAACTTTCTGCAAATCCCATTTTTTCGAATAATAGATCAATTTGCGTTGCAACAGTATGTAACAGTTGGCCGCTTACAGGCTTTGATATTCTTCGGCGCACGCTTTCAACTGCATTAGCCTGTTTTGCCACAATCCGTCTCATTTCAATGCAAACTATTTGTGGCAATGATAATGTTAGCTACAAAGCCCAGAGCCCATGTAGGCTACTTCATAAAGCGCCGCCGAAGCCAGCCCAATCCAACGACGCCAAATGCCAAAACAATTACACCTGCCTACAATTATGAGCCGCGTAGCTAGCGGCCGTGAGAAACAGATGGCAGCAACACTGCACGACGACACCTGGTGAGACGAACAAACTGCGCAATTCACCCAATGGGACGCGGAGCCGCTCATGGTTGGCCTGATATGGCAGCGGTGGCCCGGACCCCCGCAAAGCGAGGAAGACCAAGGGCTAAGCAGCAGTGCTGCGTGCAAAACGCACATTGTCGTGTTGACGCGTCCCTTCCTCCCTGTCACAAGCGTGGTGTGCGCACTAGCCAAACATTGCCACGTGAAACTGCCACTGGTGAAATTGCCAACGCTGTACACAACCCGCCTTTGCAGCGTTGCGGAGGAGAATTCGGACGGGGAACATCGTGAAACCACGAAGATTTTGTCCCTTGCTGCAACGGGCCGCTTGGGGTTGCCTAATGTTGCCCATCCCCGCATGAAATTCTAGCGGTGAAGCGGATGAAACTGGTTGACCCAGTTATGCTCAACTATGCTCAACTGCAATGCTGCAGCCACAGGAAACCATGGGCAGTGCTTTGGCCCGCAAGAATAAGCGCACACGCTTGCCAGGCCGCACAGCAGTGTATGATGTTGGGATGGGTTTTCGTTTTCGATTTCAACCCACCATTGTTTGTTTTTTTTGCTGGTCCGTCCGCCACAGGCAGACATGTCGTTTCCCCGGCAGACGTCCTGGACCTGGCAGAGGCCTCGCTGCCTAGCCGGCTGCCGCTGCGCTTGACAACGAATTGCGCCGAATGGGACAGCCCGCTCTTGTGTGCATTGCCGATGGGGGCAGCGGGGACCAGGCTAACATCGATGGCGGGGAAATACAAGACGCGTAACAAATGACCGGCGAGCAGCGCTGCCAGTTTCGAGGCACGTAGGGCCGCGCACGTTGTCTCCCCTTTCGCGGGTTGTGCGTTCATATGCGTGCGAGGGATGCTCCTCCCGCGGCCGATGGACGGCCTATCAAAATCATCGCCCATCGCCTGCACGTGCGGCGAAGCGCCCAGGTTGCGGTCGACACGACGCTTGTCAGCCCTTTGCAGAGGGACGGGCATCCGCGCCTCGCGCAGACGCGGAGCTGGGGTTGGCGTTGAAGCGGGCCACGGCATCACAAGCACCGCACATACCCTGAGCTGTTGGGAAAGGGCCGGCGAGATGCCGCTTCGGCGTGCTCAACATGGAGATCGGCGGGCGTATCAGTAGCGGCGCCTCTGCGTTCCTGGCTTCACGACGTCCAGGCAGCGAGAGCCATGGGCGGCGGAGGTCACCAGGCGGACGCTGTACAAAAAGTGGACGGCGCTCGCGTCCTCGCACCTTCGCCGGCCTGCGTGCTCGCCAGCACGCTGCTGGAGCTGCCAACCATAGGCGTCGAATCCTCCGATGGCGCAGAAATTGCCTGGGCAGCGGTTGATGAGCTCATGATGGACAGCGGGTTCTGCTGACGGGCGGGGCCTAGTCTAGCAGGCGTGGGAACAGGCAGCCGTGGACACACAAGCCTGGCAGTCACGAGAAAGTTTCTTTTGTTACTCGGACTTTTACGCCTGCATGACGAGTCCTTAAGAAATCCTCGCTACTTGTTACGCTGCCACCTACCTACGCTCGGTCCTGTTTTAGGCGCAACGGCTGGGCCCCGCGCCTGCGCCAAGGTCCATGACGCGGTCCAGAGTCGGGCCCCCATCGGAGCACGGCTGCGCTGCCGCGGGCCAAGGGCGGCCTAGGCAGTGCTTGCAACCGCGAGTTGCGTCGCCACCGATAAGGCGCCCCACCATCGTCGCGCCCATGCGGACGCTGCGGCGCCCTTGACGGCGGGAGGCGCGCGTTGGGCCGCAAGCGGACCAGGTCGCGGACGAAGCGCCGGGGCCCGGTGCTCCATCGACCGCCGATCTCGGACCCCAGCACCAGCAGTGTTTGCGGGCCTCCGCGTGCGAGCTGTAGGCCTGCTTGCGACGCTCTGCAACCTGCAGGGCGGATCAACTTGGACGGCGCGCGGCGCAGCAAAGCGCGCCACCGCGAGTTGTAGCCCCATACACGACGAGGTCCAGGCGTCTGCGGTCCTGTGGCTGCACGCCGGTATGTGGGCGAGCCACTGTTGTGGCACGACCTGGCCTTCCGGCCCCACGGCTTCCGCGCCACTCGGACCCAGGCGCGCTCCACGACTTTGGCACGTCTGGCCAGCAAGCCCGTTCTTGGACACGCGAGCGCGTGGTCGCCAAAGGCGTCCACTGTGCCACCGCAACCTGGGTTGGGGCCGCACCTACTGGGGCAAAGTGGCCGGGCCAGTCGCAGGCGACGTCGCAATGCCACTAGCATGGCTTGCGGCGGCAAGGTGGTGGCTGCCTCAGCCGGGATGGCAGTGAGCCACATGCCGGCTTGCGGGCCCGCCTGCCAGTGGAGAAGCGCCTGGGCGCTCGGCGACAAGGCTGGCATCAACACGCGATCGCGATAGCACTTGGTTTTGCAGCGTGACCATGGTCCCGGGTCAGTCACGGGCTCTACACGCGGAGTGGCCGGTGGCTGCACGGCTCGGCCCCCGCAGCCAAGCATGCGCTCAAGCGGCGAGGCATCTGCCGGGCTTGTGGGCGAGGCAGTCGGACACGTGCAGCCCAGCGCCGTCCCCGCAACTGTTTGTTGCACCACAGCGATTGATGACATGCCCCACCATCTGCGTGCCCATCCGTCTTTGTCTTGCGCGTATGTTTTGTCCACACCCCGTGCCAAACACATTTCTGCAAGCCGGGAAGAAAACCCGCCGGTACCCAGGAAGGGTTGGGAAACGCTGTCTTGCACACATGTTACAAAAAATGTGCATTCTGGTCTTCGGGTCTCGGAACTTGCAATCATGGTGCTGCGGCGTTCGCTTTGCATAATGTCCACCAACACCGGGGTCAAATTCCAAGATGATGTACATGCAAAACCGCGGAGAAAGCACAGGCCTGTGGGGCTGTGATAACGACCATGAGGGCCAAGAACACAACACTTCGCCGACGCGGCGCGTGTTGCCTCCGAGCGTATCCCCTCAAAGAATAAATGTCCACCGATATTGCCAAAAGTTGGCTGTGTCATGTTTTCTCCACCCCTGGCGACGGCGTTGCGGCTGAGCCTGTGGGTGACGCATGCTTCAGCCGTTACGGACACCCGGCTACAATCTTCCACTCGCTCACGTGCGGCTAAGCCCCACGTGCCAGGAAAACGCGGTCGCGCAGGGCACCATAAACATCTTAGCCGGAGTTTTCCCTTTTTTCCTTGCAGCCGGAGCAGTTCGCGCGCATCTGCCCTTAGTGGTCTGGTGGAGAACTTGCTGTCATTTTCCTTTGCACTGCGAAATCTAAACACAGGAACATTTCGGGTCACGCACCATCCAACCACATTCTGCCGCCCTGGGCATTTTTTTTTCTGAACGGCCGACCGGCAACGCAATGGCAAGGCCATTTGGAGGGGTACCTCTCACGTTCCTCGGAGGGTGTCCCTGTGGCCCGCTGGTTCCATTTCCATGCTCTTGCTGCGGCGGGGATCCATTCTTCCCGTTTTTTAACCCAACTGTTTGCAGTTGGGATTGGCCGCGCACACGAAAATGAGTCAAACAGTCGCGTCGCGGTTCCAAAAAACGATTGCCGGCAAATAATGGGCGCAGGACGCGAATCAAATTACTGGAGACGATTGAGCTGGGCAGTGACGCGCGCATCATAAGCGAAAACAAGGGACGTGGTGGAAACAGGAACGAATGGGGCGCAACGGCCTGACAAATGAGTTGGCGCGAAGGAAGGTGCATTGGGCATCAGAAAAACCCGGTTCGCTTCGAACCTGCCCTTAACA